AAATCATGTTATAAAAGTTAATTAAGAAAATATTTTGATTCATTAATTAAAAATTATTGATTTGATATTATAATTATATTTATAATATTTCTAATATTTCTATTATTTTTAATTATTTTACATAAATGCAATAAATTTAAATATTTTTTTTTAATTTTATTTAATTGCTATTTTATTTATAAGAAATACAAGAAGTGATAATTATCATAGAAATTATCATCTCTTGTTGTTTTAAATATAAAAACTTATGCAGTATGTAAATAAAAGATCTATTTTCACAGTTGTAACATTTTGCATTTTTTTTCGAAGGACTGCCTCGTTTTACATTAATAAATTGATTTTTTAGCAATCGTATTAAGCATATCTTTAATAAGAATGGACATGTTAAATTTATTATAAAAATATTTATATTGTAAATGTTTGCATGTTAAAATATCTCATGGATGATAGCTAAAAAGGTTTTATATAAATATAAAAAAATAAAAAAATAATAAAATAAATTATATATAAATAAATATAAAAAAATAAATTGAAAATAAAATTTTTTCATTTAAAGCTTTAGTTTCGAATAAATCAACTTCACCAAGTTTTCAACCATTAGTGAAATTAGTTATTTCCCAATTTTACGAATGAGTTATCAATAGGAAATAATATGTGAAAATAAACAAAAAATATTGAATAAATTTCTTTTATATAAAAATTAGTTTTCGAGAAATTTCGAATTTGAAAATTTTAATATATTATATTATATGAACCCATATATGATGATTTCTTGATATATTATATAGATTCAATCTCGATTTTTATAAAAATAAAGTTTTATAAAAATAAGTGATAAAATTTTATTCTATTATGTTATTTTATTTTTATTTGTAGAATAGTCATGTATTGATAGTTTATTTATATTCAATCAAAAATTAGTTAATTTCATTTGTACTTTAAAAAAGAATTTTCAAACTTGATTGACTTGAAAATAAAATTTTAAATAAAAAAAACTTTATTTTATATTTTTACTTTATTTTTTTCATATAAAAATTTCATAAAAATCACCCTTTTTATAATTGTACTATTATCACATTGTATTATATATAAATAGAAATAAATACAACTATATTTAGTGTATCATGTATAATTAGATGTTATTATTATCATTTTTCAATTTTTAAATCGAAATATCTCCTAAATTAATAATTTTTTAACATAAATAAATTAATATTGTTTTTATAGAGAATGCAGATCTATATTGATTAGTATATTAAAAAGTATAATTTAATTAAAAATTTAAAATGATTTCCACATCTTATAATAATATCCAGCAATAAAAAAATGATTATTATGTCATATATCATCTTTGATATCACACAACTTTTTAAATACTTTTTTTCCATTTTCATTCATGATATAATCGGTTTTAGTGTTTAATGTTTATAAAGTTAAAAAATTAGCAAAAAATTAAAAGATAGCAAAAAAAAGTATAGAGTTAATGTTGGATAAAAATGCGATCGAAAACGATTAACCAAAAATCAGAAAATTTATAACAAAACGGGAATAGATTCATTATTAACAATTTTTTTTTAATTACTATATATGTAGTTAATATATATTATATATAATATAGTTAAAAAAAATGCAAATGTCAATAAAAACAAACGATTTATTTTTGAACAATGAAGACACAAATCATAATATATTGTTTTGTGTAATAAAAATGATTTGCATTTAACAAAGAACGAATTCTTTATTAAAACAATAACAAATTATATAGATATAATAGATTAATAATATTGATGTAATATATTGATATAATAAATTAATAAATGGCATATTTTATATAAAAAAAAAATTATTGATTGTTGAAAATTATTATTAAATAATAATATAATTATAATATAAAT